GGCTGAGACTAACTAACAAAATGGCTCACTTCCCTCCAAAGCCCAAAAAGGGGGCGGGACTAGGGAACCTAAGAATAATTGACAAGCAATTGACCCAATAACTGCAAAGTAAGGAAAGCCATCTAACTGCAAAGGCAAAGAACTTTAAAGTACATGCAGCAATCAACAAATAGCAAGATAAGCTGGAGCTCCTGGTGCGGCTGTCCCAGAACAAAGACCCCACTGACTCATCTTCGTGATTTTTGGAAGCTGAATTTATGACTGTTCAATCTTCAAAAATGCAGGAGCATCAGCTCACACAGGGTCATTGCCATCATCGGTTATTTTTCTAGTTTTCTTGAAGATTTAACCAGGAATTCCGAGGAATCTTGGCCAGTACAGGGAATTAAGAGGTCTGGTCTTTTCGGCCTGGATTTGGAATTGAAAGTGGATTGCATTTTGCCCATGTTTTCTTTGTAGTCTTTCTCTCGCTTCTAAGTGTTGTCTTTCATGGAGAGCAAAGATTCGGGAACACAGGCCCCTTCTACACTATCGTATTATTATTATTATTTATTTTATTTATTTATTTACTGCGCTTGTAGACCGCCGTTCTCAGCCCTGGGGCGACTCACGGCGGTGTACAACGTGTAAAATCAGGTACAATTTCCAACATAAGCAATATCAAAAACAACATTAAACAGCATCACTATCAATAATACAATTCGCGACGTCTCATCATTGAATCACAATCCAAATCTCATTATCCATGTTCCGTTCCAATCGTCATTGCCAATTGTTGCAGCATTTACTCAAACGCCTTCTCAAACAACCACGTCTTTAGTCTCTTGCGGAATGTCATAAGGGAGGGCGCCAGTCTGATGTCCACAGGGAGGGTGTTCCACAGCCGGGGGGCCACCACCGAGAAGGCCCTGTCCCTCGTCCCCGCCAGGCGTGCCTGTGAGGCAGGCGGGATCGAGAGAAGGGCCTCCCCGGACGATCTCAAAGTCCTCGTGGAGATGCGGTCAGACAGGTATTTTGGGCCAGAACCGTTTAGGGCTTTGTAGGCCAACACCAGCACCTTGAATTGGGCCCGGTAGCAGATCGGCAGCCAATGGAGCTGGAACAGCAAGGGCGTTGTGTGCTCCCTGCGTCCCACTCCTGTTAGTAACATGGCTGCCGCACGCTGGACTAGCTGGAGCTTCCGGGCCGTCTTCAAGGGCAGCCCCACGTAGAGAGCGTTGCAGTAGTCAATGCGGGATGTGACCAGAGCGTGTACTACCGTGGCCAAGTCAGACTTCCCGAGGTACGGGCACAGCTGGCACACGAGCCTGAGCTGTGCAAATGCTCCCCTGGTCACCGCTGAGACCTGGGGATCCAGGCTCAACGATGAGTCCAGGATCACACCCAAGCTGCAAACCTGCGCCTTCAAAGGGAGTGCGACCCCATCCAGCACAGGCTGTCACCCTGTGCCCTGTTTGGCCTTGCGACTGACCAGGAGTACCTCTGTCTTGTCTGGATTCAATTTCAATTATTATTATTATTATTATTATTATTATTATTATTATTATTATTATCTTTATTTGTACCTCGCTAGCATCTCCCGAAGAACTTGATGCGGCTTACAAAGGCCAAGGCCTCAAAACACAACATAACAATACACAACCTAAAGCAAATTAAAAACAGTTAAAGCAATATTAACAACAAGCAATAAACAATACACCAAGACACAATAAAACTGGGCCGGGCCAGAGTAATGGGTACAGATTAAAAGTGCTGATGTGACAGGTGATATGTAAGGATTATAGGGTAAGTGCAGTGTGCAGTGTGCAGCAATCTAATTCTAATAAAGTGCTTCTGGACTTGTTATTGGAGTTTTCCTATTCTGGGAAGGCACATCGGAACAGCCAGGTCTTCAAGTTCTTTCTGAAGACTGCCAATGTAGGGGCCTGTCTAAGATCTTTGGGAGGGTGTTCCAGAGTCGGGGGGCCACCACAGAAAAGGCCCTGTCTCGTGTCCCCACCAAACGCGCCTGCGACGCAGGCAGAATCACAAGCAGGACCTCTCCGGATGATCATAGGCGGAGATGCGGTCACGCAGGTAGGATGGTCCCAAACCGTTCAGGGCTTTGTAGGTAAGCACCTGCACCTTAAATTGGGCTCGGAAAATAAACGGCAGCCAGTGGAGCTCCTTGAACAGGAGGGTTGACCTCTCTCTGTAAGGAGCCCCAGTTAACATCCTGGCCGCTGCCCGTTGGACCAGTTGGAATTTCCGAGCCGTTTTCAAGGGCAGCCCCACGTAGAGCGCATTACAGTAGTCCAATCTAGAGGTGACCAAGGCATGGACCACCCCGGCCAGATCAGCCTTTGCGAGGTACGGTCGCAGTTGGCGCACGAGTCTCAATTGTGCAAAAGCCCTCCCGGACACTGCCAATGCCTGAGCCTCAAGCGTAAGCAATGAATCCAAGAGGACTCCCAAACTGCGGACCTGTGGCTTCAGGAGGAGTGCAACCCCATCCAGCACAGGTTGGACGGGGTTACACTCCGGGTTATCAAAGCAGATAATCCACATGATCTCCTTTGAACTGGATTTGAACAGCACACTGGGTACAGTGCCTCAAGACCTTGGCCTGCACTTAAACACAATCGGTGCTGACAAGATTACCATCTGTCAGCTGCAGAAGGCCACCTTACTGGGATCTGCACGCATTATTCGCCGATACATCACACAGTCCTAGACACTTGGGAAGTGTCCGACGTGTTACCAATACAACAAGCCAGCAGCCAGGACAGTGTCTGCCATGGAGTCATCTTGTTGTGTCTCAAATAATAATAATAATAATAATAATAATAATAATAATAATAATTCACTTTATTTATATTCTGCCCTTTTCAGCCATATAATCCAGATAATCTGGATTTTATACGACAGTGTAGGGGTCTCACAGTGGGTTTTAGTTTGAAACTCTGAAAGCTGATGCAAACACTTTTTCTCCACGTGATAGCTGGAACTGTATGGGATTTGTCACATATATAGTCAGCTTGTCACAAAAATGAAAAAAAACAACACATGAATAACAAACCTGATCTTTTTTAACAAGGGAGGAGAATGGAGAAAAAAACCTTTACCCATAGGCCTTTTCAAAAGAGCTATGCGCAGAGGCGGACCTAGGTAATTTTCAATGGTAAGCAAACAGTATTTTGGCGCCCCCCCCCCCCAACCAATCATTGATATATATTTTCTGTTCGTCGTGGGAGTTCTGTGTGCCATATTTGGTTCAATTCCATCATTGGTGGAGTTCAGAATGCTCTTTGATTGTAGGTGAACTATACATCCCAGTAACTACACTTGCCGCACTTGCTCCCTTGCCTGGCCCGCTTTGGGTCCGGAGGCGTGCCTGAAGACCCCGGCGTGTGCACCAAAAGTCACCTCTTCTCCTGACTTTCTCCTCAGCCATTGGGACCGAGAGAGAGAGAGCAGAGGTGGAGATGCCCACCTTTCCTGAAGGTAGGCGCAAAAACAAAGGAGGGAGCGGAGGTGGGAGATACCTCCAGCCGGAGGGGCTCTCTTTCTCTCTCTCTCTCTCTTGGTCCCAATGGCTGAAGAGAAAGTCAGGAGAAGAGGCGACTTTTGGTGCGCACGCTGGGGTCTTCAGACACGCCTCCGGACCCGAAGCGGGCCAGGCGCGAGCGGCTCCGCCCCTTGGCCCACCCGCGGATTGGGGAGAGGAGAGGAGGCGGGTGGAGCGCCGGGGGATCGGGAAAGGGAGCCGGTCATGGGGAAGGGATCGAACGCGGAGAATGATTGAGCGCCGGCTCTGCTCGCGCACCCGGTGGCCGGGTGGAGCAGGAACGAGAGGGGCGAGGCGAGGCTCAAGGGCCCGGCCCCTTTGGGAAGAGGATCACCCGGCAGTGAGGCAA